GGAGTAAAAGGAAGTGAGATGGGGGAGCAGGAGAGAATGTTCCAGACAGGAAGAACAGCCTGTACAAAGGCTTGGGCATCAGTAAGGGCCTGGCATTTTCAAGGAACTGAAAGAAGGTCCATGTGGCTGGGACAAAGTGATGTGGTGGGTGGTGGAGCTGGAGGAAAAAGTTGAGCCTGGAGAAGTAGGCAGAAATGTGGGCTTCGTCCTGAGGGTAATGGGGAGGCATTGAAGGATTTCGAGAGGGGAGAGCCTTGCTCAGACTCGTGTTTTGGAGATCACTGGGCTTTTGAGAGGAAGATGGACTGGACCAGGAAGGCCTGGAAACTGGGGCATGAGTTCACGGCTGTGGTCCAGCAGAGAGATGGAGGAGGAGGAGACGAATTCAGGACACATCCAGGTAGCCAACTAACACACTTTGCTGATGGACTGGACATGGGCAGTGAGGGAGAGCCCAGGGACAGAGATGACCCTTGGATTTCTGACCTGAGGAACCAAGAGGACACCCCGTCAGGAACGACAGACACATCAACGGGCACGTCAAGTCTTTGGGACAGGGGAATGGGGCCTATTTTGGGGCCAGGGGTGGAAATACCATTTGGGACCTTCACATCTCAGCTGGACTGGCCCTGATCCCTGATTCCCGGCCCCCTGGGTAGGGCAGGATGAATCCAGTTTCAGCTGTCAGTGATGGAGATGAGTAAACAAATGCTCAATCCTTACTGAGCTGCTCCAGGAGACCCTAGGCAAGTCACTGTCCTGATGAGCCTCAGGTGACACTGGTGTGACGGGGATGACACTTCTGCCTAGCTGCCCAACCCCGGTCAGCCACAGCTGTCAAATGCAATTGAAGATGATGAAGAGCTGCCGCCCCAGCTGCTTGGATGCTCTGTGACTGAGAGCATCCTCATTCCACCCACTGCCTTGGGGACAGGCTTCTGCAGGAGCCTGGGCAGAGCCTGGGGCAGGAACATTCCTTCCCTGTCTTTCAGGGAGAAGGACCACATATCTGCCTGTTCCAGTGCCCTCTGGCCAAAGCGGAGTGGGCTGTTGCAGCAGCCCCTGGGGCAAGCACGGCAGATTCCTGGGTGGTGTGCCTGCCCACTTTAGTCAGAGGCGTTGAGACAAGGAGTTACCATGGCCGTTCCTCCCACTCAGATCCAATTCCCCTTCACACTCTCCTAATAGGCCTAACAGTGTCTGGCCTGCTTCCCTGCCATGGCCCTTTCCCTTCCCCTGGCCACAGCATTGTCTCCCCTGCTGCCCCTCCACAAAGCTCTGCCTCACTGCCACCTCCTCCAGGGAGCATTCCTGATTGCCCTGACAGACCTCTAGGTCCTAGAGCAGCATAAGGATCTCTCAAGATGCTTCACATAGGCCCAGATTCAGGATATTTTGTCTGGAAGGTCCCTTGGCATCCATCTCACAGCCTGGGAGAACTGAGGAGGAATAAGCTCGGTTAACCCCTGGTGAGGAAACCACCTCAAAAATGTCCCTGGTCCCGGCCACCTCCCAAAGAAGATGGAGGCACACTGGGCCCTTTGCGTCCATCTCACCTGCCCTTCCTTCAGTCCTGTGTTTACTCCGTCAGTCCTGTGTTTACTCGAACGCAGAAGGTTCACTGCATGCCAGGCACCATGCTTGGCCCTGGGGATGCCTACAGCGTGGGGCAAGGCAGACACAGCCTGTCCTCATGTGACTGGCTCTCAGTCTTGCATTTAGGCTGTGCCCCATGCCGGGGTGTCATGCTGTTGCCCTATTTTTTTTTTTTTTTTTTGAGACAGAGTCTTGCTCTGTCGCCCAGGCTTGGAGTGCAGTGGCGCGATCTCGGCTCACTGCAAGCTCCACCTCCCAGGTTCACGCCATTCTCCTGCCTCAGCCTCCCCAGCAGCTGGGACTACAGGCACCTGCCACCAAGCCCAGCTAATTTTTTGTATTTTTAGTAGAGACGGGGTTTCACCATGTTAACCAGGATGGTCTCGATCTCCTGACCTCATGATCTGCCCGCCTCGGCCTCCCAAAGTGCTGGGATTACAGGCATGAGCCACCATGCCCAGCTGTTGTTGCCCTAATTTATATCTGCACATTTCCCTCTCTGCACCTTTGCCTAAACCGTGCACCCTGTGCAATGCCCTTTCTTTCAATCTCAGTATGAATCTTTTTTTTTTTTTTTTTGAGGCGGAGTTTCGCTCTGTCGCCCAGGCTGGAGTGCAGTGGTGCAATCTCGGCTCACTGCAAGCTCCGCCTCCCAGGTTTACGCCATTCCCCTGCCTCAGCCTCCTGAGTAGCTGGGACTACAGGTGCCCGCCACCATGCCTGGCTAATTTTTTTGTATTTTTTAGTAGAGACGGGGTTTCACCCTGTTAGCCAGGATGGTCTCGATCTCCTGACCTCGTGATCCGCCCACCTCGGCCTCCTAAAGTGCTGGGATTACAGGTGTGAGCCACTGCACCCGGCCTCAGTATGAATCTTATCTACAAAACCTAGCCCTATGCCCTACAGCCACCTCTTTCAGGCAGCCTTCCATGAATTCTGGCCAGAAGCAGCCTCTCCCCAATCTGTGCCCCAAAGCCCTTTAATCTCACCTGCATGTCCCTATAAGGGGTCAAGCCTTGTTCCCCCACCCCTACCCACTGTGAAACCCCACAACAGCAGGGTCTGGCCTCTGTCCGCCCTGCAGCCCCGAGCACAGCCCCGAGAGGCCAGCTGCCCCTGCCAGCCAGGCAGCCTGCACCAGCCTTGAGCTGAACCGGAACCTTCCTAGTCCAGAACCTTCCACTGCTACTTTCATGATCTGTTCCCCAGAACAAACAGGGGAATTTGGGTCCTTCTGGAGAAAGCTCTGAGTCTGCAGGAAAGCAGACAACTCAGAACCCACCGGGGAGTTTCCCCAGCAGCAGGGACTGCAGCCACTTCATCATTAATCAGGCTGCTCGCTGGGTCACAGTTGTCCCTTGCAGTTGTGTAGCACAGAAGAGCATGTAGTGGCTTCTGTGGCAGGTGGAGTTCCCACAATAGGGCAGGCAGAAGCCACAGGGCAGAGCACACAGAGGGCAGCGAGGGCGGGAGGGGTGGTCAGCAGAGGCGCCCCTTCCTGCCTGTTCCCAGGACCCAGGCCCGGCCCTACACCTCTGGGCTCAGGCTCTGTCGCCAGGTCATGGCTGCCCTGTGCCTGCACACCTTCCCCTGCCCAGCGCGTCCTCCTTTGCAGGGGGACTCTGCAGGGAGCTACTCTGAGGCTGCTCCTCCCCTTCTCTGGGATGTTGGCACCAAGGAGGTGCCCAGGCAGGAAAAGCAGCTTCCCCTCCCCCTCCTCTGCATGTGCAAATGGAAGCCAGCCCTGGGCGCAGGAGGCGTGACTGGGGGCAAAGAACCCATCTGGGCTGTGGCTTGAGGAGGGGCAGGGTCAGGGTCTCTGGTAGCTGATGCGACCTCCAGAGAAGCAGAGAAATGTTGGTGCGAGGCCCGCCAAGGGGGTCTCCATCTTCCTGAGATCTACCGTTTTGGCAGGGCTCTGTGGAACAGACCAAACTTCCTTCTACAGGTGATGAGATTGAAGTCCAGAGAGGGTCTGAGAGCCGCCCGAGGTCACACAGAGGATCCCGCCCACAGAAAGATTCCTCCATGAGCAGGGAAGCCCCGCTTCCAGGTGCGGAAGCAGCCAGGCCTCGCTTGTTGAGGGGTGGGGAGAGGAGCGCCTGGGGCTCCTCCGAGGTTGAGGGTCTCTGTCTGCTTTCCTCTCATAGGATCCCCGCCCTTCCACCTGAGGACTGATGAGGTTAGCTCTGAGCGATGCTCCGGGAGCGTGGGGTTTCCACAGGTCCCCAGAATCTAAAACCAAGAAACAAAAAACCTCACGACAAATAGCGGCTGTTGCTGTTATCATGACAGTTAGTGAAAAACTTGGTAAAGATACAGTGATTAACACAGGGTGGACTGTGAGAGGGTGGAAGGCACCTGTGCCTTGTTTTGGAGGGGCAGTGCTATCATTTTGAGTTGGCCCTGGTCATGCAGGGACAGGGTGAAGCCAGGCCGAGGTCCCCCATGTCACAATCAGAGGCCAGGTGCTGCCCTGCCTGGAGCCGCCCTTCCCTGGTGCTGCCCACCTGAAGGCCATGGGACTCTCATCCTACTGAAGGGATGCCCGTGCTCGGGCTCCTGTGAGCCCCAACAGGGCGACTGGCAATTTCCTCGGGTGGTCAGGGGACTGACCCACTTGCAGGGATGCTGTGACCTGGGGCTGAGACCCTAGAGTCACAGAGAAGCCAGTTCACCAACTTTATCAACCTCCTTATGATTGCAATTCTTGTTTTATTCCTGACCCTACTGGAAAGTGGACTTGTGTTCTGTCATCTGCCCTGCAATGAGCTGGGGTGCCTGGAAAGTCAGCTCAGGGCCTGACTCAGGCTGGACCCTGACCAGGTGTCTAGTACTGACTCCAGGACACAGCTCTGCTAGAAGTGAGAAGCAGCATCTCCCAAGGAGCCCTTCGTTCTGTTCTGTATCTTAGGGTAAGGCATCCCCTTTAGGGGAACGTGGTTTCCTCAGCTATTTGGACTGAATGGTGATCGAAGCGCCCCCGGGCTCTTGCCTCCTGCGGTCAGGGCCTCGCCTGGGATGGGACACCAGCCAAAGCTGCTCTGTACCCTGGCTGGGCCTCAGCCTCTCGGAGGCGGATGGACCTCCCTGCAGAGTGATGCCCATGTGCCCGTGCCTGGCAGCCGCAGTGGCCCCGACAGCACCCTGAAGCTCACTCATGGTCCAGAAGAGCTCTGCTTGGTTTCTGCCTGGTTGACTCCCCAACACCCCCGTCTGCCCTCCCACTCAAGCCACCATGCATGAAGGACGCTCTCCAGCCAGAGAGATAAACCCAGCTGTGCATGGAGGCTTTTCAATTCTAATAGAGGAACCAAGAAATGTCCCCTTTGAAAGGAGAAGTATGTCACTGCCATGGCTCCAGATACATGTACACCACCTCCATCTGCAGTTGAGTGCCCCTTCTCTGGAAATCCACAAATATTCCAAGAGCTGGACTTCTCCTGAATCATCTCAAATTCTTCGAACTTCGCTGGTCTAGGGAAGGATGTGAGGAGGTGACAGAAGGCGGGGCAAGACCCTCAAAGAGGTTAAATAGGTCACTGCCACCCTCGACTCTCACCAGGGTGTCTCCCTAAGCAGAGGGACCCGTACGCAGAGACTCCCTCCTGGGCTCCTGGCACCATGGCCCCACTGAAGATGCTGGCCCTGGTCATCCTCCTCCTGGGGGCTTCTCTGCAGCATATCCATGCAGGTGAGAGCAGGAGACAGGTGGCCAGGGGTGGGCACCGGGAGGACAGGAGTTAGGGGCATGAAGACCACTGCAGCAACACACACATTTGTGTATTATTTACACCCCATCTACTCCCACAAAAGACATGAGAAGTCCACAGCACTAGGATTTTGAGGGAAATAAGCAGAGAAAAATGTTGATGATGACCCAGCTCTTGTGGGTGGGCTTGGTGAGGTCCAAAGCGAGCACAGCTCAGGCTGCAATGGCTGCGAGGTGGGGGCTGTGGCTATAGTTGTGCAATGGAAAATGAACAATTCTCAAAATTATTTATTAGCCTCTGTTTTATTAACAGGTTTTATGTACAATGAGGGAATCAGCATAAAGATAGGATAATTGGTTCCAAAAGCATGTAAAAAATGATTCTTTTTTTTTGAGAAGGAGTCTCGCTATGTTGTCAAAGCTGGAGTGCAATGGTGCAATCTCAGCTCACTGCAACCTCTGCCTCCCGGGTTCAAGCAATAATCCTACCTCAGCCTCCCGAGTAGCTGGTAATTCAGGGGCCCAGCCACTACGCCACCAATGGATTTTCACCATGTTGGTCAGGCTGGTCTCGAACTCCTGACCTCAGGCAATGCACCCACTTCAGCCTCCCAAAGTGCTGGGATTACAGGCATAAGCCTCAGCGCTCAGCCTGAAAAAGAGATTCTTATATTAGGTTGGCAAAAGGAAGATGAAATAAGGTTGCCAGGTATAGACATTCAGGGACGCACACAGACACACACACGTAGGCACTCACAGGACACACAGGATCTCCCACAGACACACACAGACATGCATACCCACACACACGCGGGACCCCCACAGCATACACAGAGGCCTCACACACATTTGTGCACGGTAACACACAGACACACATACACATAGGCAGCGATGCACACGCAGTCACCACACACAGGTGCGCACATGAACATGCACACGCAGATCTTCCATGAACAGCCTCCAGGAGTCCCCGCAACCCACACCCAGATACTCACAGACACCCCTGCCCCGCTCCTCTCCCTGCAGCTCGAGGGACCAATGTGGGCCGGGAGTGCTGCCTGAAGTACTTCAAGGGAGCCATTCCCCTTAGAAAGCTGAAGACGTGGTACCAGACATCCGAGGACTGTTCCAGGGATGCTATTGTGTAAGTCCCCCCAGGCCCTACCCCTGCTCCTCGGGGCCAAGCTTGGGGACAAGTGCTGCCAGGAGCTCCCAGGACGGCCACTGGGGAGCAGGGAAGAGACAGTGGGGCCTTCCTCCCTGACCTCTGCAGGCTCCTTGAGGCAGTTCATGTTCCCCATGCTGTGGGACCCAAAATGGCTGCAGGCCATGAGGTCCAACCTGTTCCTTGATTTGTGGTGAAATCGAGGCCCCGGAAGCGATGAACACCCCCAGGTCACACAGCTGGTCAGGGGCAATGTGTTCACCTCCCCTGGCCTGGACCTAAGCCCTGCCTGCAGTCTCCACGTCCCAGGCTCTAGGCCGTCTGGGGGCATGGGCAGGCTGAGGGGTGGGCACAAGGTACTGCAGCCCTGGCTGCCTGGGAGGGTTGATGTCACTCAGGACAGAGCCTGAAGTCCCAGATCTGCCACCAATGCCGTGTGTGACTGCAGCAACTTCTTGCCCCTCTTGGAGCCTTGGAATCCTGGTCAGCACAGGGTGGGGCCGTTCCAGGGACTCTGGGGGCCCTTCCCCCTCTGCCACCCCTGGTAACATCCTCCTTCTGTGTAGTTTTGTAACTGTCCAGAACAAGGCCATCTGTTCGGACCCCAACGACAAGAAAGTGAAGAAGGCACTTAAATATCTGCAAAGCCTCTAGAGGTCTTGAAGCCTCCTCACCTCAGACCCCTGACTGTCTCCTGGGACCACCTGGGACCTCCACCATTGGTGTTCACCGCCCCAACCCTGAGCACTTGGGGCCAGGGGAGGCCTTCCAAGGACAAAGAAGCGCCACAGTGAGGGAGATCCCATCCCCTTGTCTGAACTGGAGCCATGGGCACAAAGGGTCCAGATTAAATTCTTTCTCCTTAGTCTGTGTCAGCGTGTTCGTCCCCACAGTGCAAGACGCACTTCCACTCCAGCCTGTCACTCTGGGAGGGTCCTGAGAGAACATCGGGTTCTGCCCTGTGCAGGTTGGAAAGGGAGACTGAGGCTGAGAGGGGCACGTGGCTTCCGCAGACCACGCACCAGTGAGGGGAGGCCCTGGTGAGAGGACCGGGCAGGGGCGGGGCTGGCGGGGTCCTGGTAGGCGGTGGCTGAATTCTGTCCCCACCCACGCCGAGGTCTCCCGGTTTCCCCCTAGCCCAGCTCCTGTTCTTGCCCCACGTGGAGTTGAGGACAAGCTTCCCCAAGGTGCTGGAGTCAATGTCACAGACTGGCCAGGAGCCTGCCACAGGTCACAGCTCTGCCCAGTGCTGGGGAGCCCCCTGGCCGAGGGTGTGGGACCTTGCAGCCCTGTCTCTGCCTCCCCCTGCACTCACTGCAGGTCAGCTGGCCCGGCTCCTCCTGGCCCTGGCTCCCTCTCCCCGCTCAAACTCCAGACCAGCTTCAGAGCGAGGGGGATCTGTGGGTCCTGGGTCCTTGCGGGGGCCCTGGGTCCTCCGCCTGCAGCTACCCTCCTAGCCCCCTCCAGCCCCAGGCAGGCGGGCACCACGCGGCCCTGTGGTTCCTCCTGACTGAAGTGTGATCCCCACCGGCCCGGGCTGACCTCCCCACTAGCTCAGCTGCGCCCAGCCTGCAGGAAGCAGGCCCAGCACAGCTGCCCACCGACTCGCTCCCCCAGTTCTTAGGGACTGCCCGGAAGCCGACCCCCTGCTCGGCGTGGTTCTCTTATTGGTTCGTGTGTGTGTGTGTGTGTGTGTGTGTGTGTGTGTCGGTCCCAGCTCCTCCATTAGGTTGAGAGCCCCGTGAGCCACTCCGGGGACCCCGCACCCCTGTGCTCAAAAAGATGGGGACTACAGGCTCAGGACACCCCACCCCCAGACCCCTGCCCATGCCCAGCTACGGGCTGGGCACAAAGGAGTCAGGGCCTTCCCTTCTACTTCTCTCTCACTCTCCCAACCAGCGATGGGGGCCGTGGCTTGTCTCTGAACAGTTTGGCGGCAGGGGCATGGGTCCTTCTCTTCCGAGGACCTCGTGGCCGGCATTGTTTGGCAGGGCTGCGGTTAGAAGGGCAATTTCCAGGCCCGACTGTTGCCTCCTTCTGCCCCCTTGTGGTCAGTCAACTCATTGCAGGGCAGATGATAGAACGCAAGGGCAGGATTAAAACAAGAACAGCGATAAAAAGGTTGATAAAACCAGTGAACTGGCTTCCCTGTGACTCTAGGGTCTCTTTGGTCGCAAGTGGGCTCATATCCTGTCCTGATGCCGAGGAGGATCCCTTGAACAACTGCCTAAGACCCAGAGTCCTAAGGGTGTCCCAGTCTGAGTTCTTCATGGAAAATTGTCCTCTGAATCCACCCGGTGGAGGATGATCTAAAAAGGGAAGGAGGCAAGGAGAAGCTCCTAAGGTAGCAAAGGCCAGCGACGGTCGGGGTCTGGACCCCTGCACCCTACAGGCCAGAGCTGGAAGGACTCTCAGAGTGCAATGGCTGGATTTCGGCTCACTGCAACCTCCACCTCCCAGGTTCAAGCGATTCTTCTGCCTCAGCCTCCTAAGTAGCTAGGATTACAGGCGCCTGCCACCACACCCGGCTAATTTTTTTGCATTTTTAGTAGAGACAGGGTTTCACCATGTCAATCAGGCTGGTCTTGAACTCTTGGCCTCATGTGATCCACTCGCCTTGGCCTCCCAAAGTGCTGAAATCCCAAGCATGAGCCACTGCGCCTGGCCTCCAGCAAACTTCGTTTAAAAAAGCAAGACCTTTTTTTTCCACCCCTACTGAAATCCTACTCAGAAGCCCATATTATAAGCTAAGTAGAGCTGCCGTGGAGGCCTGTGAGGAGGTGGGGAGTTGCCAGAGGGTCCCTGAAAGCGAGATAGGGTGGGGGCGTTGCATAAAGGCAGGGAAGAGGTGGATCCAGGACTGGCAACAAAACGCACGATTCAGAATCCAAGTATTCACGAGCAACATCCGGTGCAAGTTGGGGGATGGTGAGATGCAAGAGCTAGGACAACTGCCATGTGACCTCAGGGCATTTTAAGGAGGTGTGACTTGGAGGCTGCCATGATTGGAAACCTGGGAGGGAAAAAGAGGAATGGGCAGGTTCGGGGTGAAAAGTGAGGAGGAGTGCCAGACTTACGTTGCTTCTTTCAACTGATAGGTGCCTCCCCTCCTCCCCCACCCCACCCCTGCTTTTTTTTCTTTTCAGATGGAGTCTGGCTGTGTCCCCAGGCTGGAGTGCAGTGGTGTGATCTCGGCTCACTGCAACCTCTGTCTCCTGGGTTCAAGGGATACTCCTGCCTCAGCTTGCCACCATACCCGGCTGATTTTTGTATTTTTAGAAGAGACAGGGTTTTACCATGTTGGCCAGGCTGGTCTCGAACTCCTGAGCTCAAGTGATCTGCCTGCCTCAGCCTCCCAAAGTGCTGGGATTACAGGTGTGAGCCACTATTCTGAAATCCAGTTTCTCTTCAACATTCAACTCAGTGTTGCCTCCCCGGCAGCCAGACAACCAGCCCTGGTCTCTCTGGTTGCAACTGAACCTGGGCTGTGTGTACTCCACCTGCTGCCAGCGCTCACCTCAGTCTAATCCTGACCACACTCTGTCCCTTGTAATTGGAGCTGCTTGGGTAATTTACCCAATAAACACACTGAGCAGGTATTTGGGTCAGGAAACAGTACCAGACTCATTTATGAGGAGGGAAAAAAGCTTTGTGCATAGTGTATATTTGATTTATACATTTTCATCAGTGCTGCTTGGGTGAATTCCACAAGGGGCACTAGTGGGGAAAGAGAAATTTCCTGGGGAGCCCTAACAACCGGGCCTGAAACACATCTCATCTCCAAATGTAGAAATTAGAATTGGATTGTTCTCCAACAGCCCACCAGAGGGTACTCTGCTCTTAGGAGGAAGTTCTGAGGCTGACGCGCCAGAGGCCCTGATCCCACCAGCTGGACTCCAACCCCATCGCTGTCCCCAGGGGCTGGGATCAGCCACATCTGTTTGTAGCTGCACTAGGCCTTGAGGCAGGGGTGTCTGTAGCTGGCCAGCTCTCCTCTTGGGGGAACAGAAGCTAAGAAACCACCAATTACACTGCCTAGGGTTTGCTGGATGAAGAGGAAGAAGGAAGAAACACTGCTGGGACTAGTAGGGCCACTAACTCCAGACACAACCTGGGCAGTGCCGAGAGCTGTGGGCCGGGGTGTTTCCCTGTATTTTCTTAGAGACTGTATTTGTTCTATTTGGCATCCATTTATCATAGGGCCAAATCACAGAGCCAAAGGCATTTACACCTCCCCTGCAAGCCGGATTTTGCAAGTTTTTTAAAGTAGTAATAGTTACAAACCCTCCGACCAATCCCGATCACAGACCCCCCAACCATCTATATTTAACTCTCACACCAAGCCAGTATTTCCCCTGCCCTAAATCACCCAGAGCCAGGTAGAGACAACTAGGGGCAGCCCCTATGCCCAAGGCCCTCTGGAATTATTCCAACTAGCCAGACCTGGGCTGCTTCCCCTGGCCTGCCTTGCCCTTCAAGTGGAAACCCCATGAAAGGCTGTGGCCTGTGCTGTTCTGAACCTTCCTTTCAGCCTCCTGACCAAACTTGGTGCTCCCTCTGTGGCCCCTGTGTGTGGTCCTGCATGTGTGCCATGCCCTGTTCTCCTGGGAGATGCAAGTAATAAATTCTTCTTTCAGTGGCCTTGGTTGCTCTGTGTTGTCACTCAGCCACCTCCATCAATTCAAATCCTGTGGGTACATTTAAAAAATTTGAAATTGACACATAGTAATTGTACATATTTATGGGGCACATGTGATACTTTGACACAGGTGTCCAATGCGTAATGATCAGATCAAGGTAATCAGGATATCCATCACCTTGAACATTTACCATTTCACTGTGTTGGGAATATTTCAAATCTTCTCTTCTAGCCATTTTGAAATATACAATAGGCCGGGCATAGTGGCTCACACCTGTAATCCCAGCACTCTGGGAGACCGAGGTGGGAGGATCGCTTGAGCCCAGGAGTTTGAGACCAGTCTGGGCAACATAGTCAGACTCAGTCTTTACGAAACACAAAAATTAGCCAGGCATGGTAGCATGCGCCTGTGCTGCCAGCTACCCAGGAGGCTGAGGTGGGAGGATCACTTGAGCACAGCAGGTCAAGGCTGCAGTGAACCGTAATGGCACCACTGCACTCCAGCTAGGGTGACAGAGGGAGACCCTGTCTCAAAAAGAGGAAAAAAAGGCCAGGCATAGTGGCTCACACCTGTAATCCTAGCACTTTGGGAGACCAAGGCCGGTAGGTCACCTGTTCAGGAGTTCTAGACCAGCTCGGCCAACATGGTGAAACCCTGTCTCTAAAAAATACAAAAAAAAATTAGCTGGATGTGGTGGCAGGCACCTGTAATCCTAGTTACTCAGGAGGCTGAGGCAGGAGAATCGCTTGAGGAGGCTGAGGCAGGAGAATCGCTTGAACCCGGGAGAGGTTGCAGTGAGCCAAGATCGCGCCATTGCACTCCAACCTGGGCAACAAGAGCAAAACTCCATCTCAAAAAAAAAAAAAAAAGAAAAGAAAAGAAATATACAATAAATTGTTTACTAGTCACCCTACTGTGCAATCAAACACTGAAAATTATTCCTTCTATCCATCTGTTTGTTTGTACCCATTAACCAATCTCTCCCCATCACTCCCTCTCCCCTAAATAGAGCTACCATATGATCCAGCAATTCTACCACTAGGTATTTAGCCAAAGGAAAGGAAATCAATATATCAAAGGGATACCTGCACCTCCATGCTTATTGCAGCACTATTCACAATAGCCAAGATATGGAATCAACCCGTGTCCATCAATGGAAGAATAAATAAATAAATCTGGTACATGTACACAACAGAGTACTATTCAGCCATAAAAGGAAAAAAAAAAAAAAAGGAAATCCAGTCATTTGCAGCAAAATGGATGGATAGTCATTATGTTAAGTGAAATAAGCCAGGCACAGAAAGACAACTATCTTATGTTCTCACTCATATGTGGGAGCTAAAAAAGCTTATCTTCGAAAGTACATTTTAACACAAAGGGTCAGGGACCTGTTTGGAGTCTCTGCTTTGCCACTGACTGGCCATTGGACCTGGACACATGTGCCTCACCTGCCTGAGCCTATTTCTCCTTGAAGCAGTGGAACTGGACCCGCTCTCACCTGTTTCAGGATGTGCCAATATGGCTACTTCTCTACCTCTCACATTGCCCTTAGGGGACCACAGTCTTAGAAAACCTGCCATTTCCAGTCAGGCGCAGTGGCTCATGATCATGAGGTCAAGAGATCGAGACCAGCCTGACTAACACGGTGAAACCTCATCTCTACTAAAAATACAAAAATTAGCCAGGCATGGTGGTGCGTGCCTGTAATACCAGCTACTCGGGAGGCTGAGGCAGGAGAATTGCTTGAACTCGGGAGGCAGAGATTGCAGTGAGCTAAGATCGAGCCATTGCACTCCAGCCTGGGCAACAGAGTGCAACTCTGTCTCAAAAAAAAAGAAAAGTAAAGAAAAGAAAACTTGCCATTTCCTCCTCATAATTGAACTGCCACCACCGGAATATTCCCTGTGCCCTTTTCCAAAGCCAGCATGGCAACCACAGGGGTGAAATACTCAGACACGCAAAGGGATCAGGGCTTTAAGAAGTCAGCCTTCAGCCAAGCATGGTGGCTCACACCTGTAATCCCAGCACTTTGGGAGGCCGAGGCGGGCGGATCACTTGAGGTCAGGAGTTTGAGACCAGCCTGGTTAACAGGGTGAAACTCTGACAGTACTAAAAATACAAAAATTAGTTGGGCATGGTGGTGCACGCCTGTAATCCCAGCTACTTGGGAGGCTGAGGTTGGGGGATTGCTTGAACCTGGGAGGTAGAGGTTGCAGTGAGCCAAGATCAGTCCACTGCACTCCAGCCTGGGCAACAGAGTGAGACTCTGTCTCAAAACAAACAAACCCTGACCAGTCCTCCTCAAAATGATCAAGCTCATCCAAAACAAGGAAAGTCTGAGAAACTGTCACAGCCAAAAAGTCAGCCTTCAAATGACTCTTTTTTTTTTTTTTTGGAGATGGAGTCTTGCTCATCGCGGAGGCTGGAGTGCAATGGGGCGATCTTGGCTCTCTGCAAGCTCCGCCTCCCGGGTTCACGCCATTCTCCTGTCTCAGCCTCCCGAGTAGCTGGGACTACAGGCGCCCACCACCACGCATGGCTAATTTTTTGTATTTTTAG